TTACAAACCTAAATTTTATATAAGTAATTATAAAAGGCCTCATAATGTTGAATGGAGGCCCGTGTCCAGCAGTGGGATGTTAAAAAGGGCTGAATACATTACAAAAGGCACTTAGCAACGCACTTGAGTGAAGTGATGGTAAGTCGCTGGTTTACACCAAACTTTGGCGGAAAGAGAGAGAATATTGTCACTACTCTTTCTTATTTCTATCTTTTTAAATTAAAAAAAATACTATTATCATTAAGTTGTTTTCTACAAATGCCCTTGATTGTGCTGCGTCATAGATAGTTACGAATAAATGAAGTGTAATATCGATGAATTGTTTTTTAACCTCCGACGCTAAAAGAGGGGTGTTATAAGTTTGACTTTGATATCTGTCTGTGTGTGTGTGTGTGTGTTTGTCTGTGACATCGTAGATCTCAAACTGATGGATCAATTTTGATGCGGTTTTTTTCATTCGAAAGCCAGTTTCCTCGCGGTTGTCCTTAGCTATATTCTGTTAATATCGGTCCAGCAGTGTAAGTGTATCAGCTCTTTTCCAAAATGATTAAGTGCTTCACGCTTACCAGTGTAATCGTTAAATGACAATTAATTTCCGTAGGGTTTTTTTAAATTTTTAATTTATAATTATTGTTATTATTTATAAAATTCATCTGTTCAATAATCTATAGACATGTGTAGACATAGCGTACTTATTAAGATTTAGGATTATTGTGCGCCAGTAATAAAATACGAATGCCAGTTCAATTCAATTCTTTTATTAATTAATGGCTTCAAAGTAATATGAATGTTTTCAATCTCATAAACATTATAAATGCGAAAATTTGGATGGATGGATGTTTGTTACTCAATCGCGCTAGAACAGTTGAACGGATCTGGGTGAAATTTGGCACATTGGATAGATTATAGTCTGGAATAGTATACCCATAGGTTACTTTTTATCGCGGTAAAATGTAAGATTTGAACGTTGCAATATCCATACATAGAGACGAACCCGAGCGAAACGAAGGTGTGTCGCTAGTAATGTATAAAATTAAAAATCTTAAAAAGATCTCTTTTGTTAGAATGTTGAAAAGATATCTTGAATTCATCAAATATTCGAAAAACGGCACGTAAATGGAACAAAAGCTGTCAAATGTACCCTAAACCTAGAATTGTATTTAGTCGTCTTCGCACACACTCGACATCAGAAAGTGGGCCTATATAAATAGACTAATAATAAAAACTATTTTCCTAAATTCTTAAGATTGACCCATTATCTCTTCGAACTGATGATAGGATAAATGACGTTCCAAAAAGCACAATTCAATCGCGTTTTTCAAATGAATTGTCTAATAAAAATAAAGAAATAATGTCTTTTTGATGAAAAAATTACAAATTCCTTTATGGCTGAGAGAAAAAAAAATCAAAGCCAAGCAATACACTCAACTGAGTTACAGCGTAATAAAAAACGAGCACAATAACATGCACCTATGTTATCAGAAAAACGTTTACTTATAAAAAGTATTTATGGACGTAGGATATTTATTAGTACCTAGGTTTATTTGCTATAGGTGTTATGGTTTAGTTTAATGTATCTGGGTTATAAATTCATGGATGGTTGAAGCAAAGTCTTCTATAATAAACTATACTATATATTATCTTGTGGGTCTAGTGGTTAGCATGTATCGCTGTAGAAATTGAGATACTGGGTACTAGTCCCAAGTGGGGCTAAAAATATAAGGATTTAATTTTTTTAGAACGAAATTTTCAGAAATCAGGATCAGGGTAGGGAAATTGTCGGTTGTCCCTCCCAACGTGCGTTCACCTTGTCGTGGTGGGGGGGCTCAGTAGTGTACTCGCGAAGCCAAGAAACGCACAGGGAGGTGGCCCGTTTTGGTGGGCGGTGGGAGGCGGCCTTCTTCGGAGGGCGGTGTACCATGCGGGTTGCTCCTGGTACTTCTCTGATAGCAGAGTGGACCGTAGAGCAACCCCATGGTTGTTGTGGTCTGCTTCGGCAGACCTGCCGTCGGGGCGTCGTAGTTGAATGCGTAAGCGATCCTGCGACGCCCCATTAAGACGGGGGAAGGTTTTGTTGGGTTTTAGTGGGTAGTATTGGCTTCGCCGGTGAGTCCCACACTTCGTGCGTAAATGCATTTCCCAACGTTTAAAAAAAAAAAGGGAAATTGTCGGTATTACATTCCTATGTCTGCAACAATACGTAAAATCTATCCTGCACCTAACCGGTCGTGTTAGATTGCCATGGTTTGAGAGGGAAAGGGATACATATATTGTGCATTTGAATTTCCACTTTAACGTAAGGCTTTTTTACCATTTGCAATGAAGTTTCAAAAATACAGCTGATTTTCTGGTGTTAAGTGCTGCGATTTTATATTAGGGATCAAATTAAGTATAATAAAATAGATATCAACTTGTAATTGAATTATTATAGAGACAAGTTAATATATAATTACATATTTTATTTAATAAATTAAGGCCTGCCATGGATAAATTTTATAATTTCACACTGAATAAGTCTTACTTCATATAAAGATCTTGTTACTGTTCATTACAGGCTAATTTCCAACAACATTCTATCCTATAAGTATCGGGTAATAAGTAGTCTATACCACACTGTAACCGATATACCTACTATTTCTACATAAAAATAAGTCAGTTTATTGTTAAAAGCAGGATGAACTAACAATTAATCAAGTACACTTTGCGTTTATAATATTAAATTATTTTTTAAATAAAAAGATATAGAATTAATTATAAAATAATTTTAGCATAATAAAATCTTCTTGCTTCATTCAACAAATTTAAATCAATTTCATGGAACCACGCTTGAGGTACCTTTATAAAAAAATGCGAAAATTGGTACACCATTGGCAAACATATCATCATCTATGGCATGTACCAAAACACCCGGAATTGAGTAATAACGGTACCTTATTTAAGGCGATCAAAAATTAAGAAGAACAAGAGTCGTATGCCACTTTTTTGTCTTTGATGTATATAGATTATAATAAAATGAATACCTCAGCGTTCTTCACATACGTCGCGTTGACAGATCTCACTTTTTATTGGATCATAAAGGACCCTCGTAGGTTACTCATTCAATAGATCTATTGAATAAATAAAAGCCAAAAATAAGATTCTTTACAAACAAGGACGGTAGTATTTATAAATAATTCAGACGTGTTTGATACTGTTATTATGTTGGAGGTTAAAGTTCGATTTTCGGTGATGGAAAATATTTGGATAACTAATTTTGGTACACATGATATTTTATCTGGGCGGCTAAATCTATGTTTAGTTAATAAAGAAATCATAGTGGGCCAATATAAAGCGTAAAATAAACAGAAAAAAAGTCTCTAGAAGAAATCTAAGGATGCACCCGAGAGAAGCAAGGGGAAGTCGCTAGCATTGTATACTAAGTTACTAATACCTATTAGGACTACTACTATAAGTGTATGTGAGTGTGTCTGTGTAACCGTGCGTGCGTGCGTGTTTATGCTTGTTTGTCTGTGGATATGTTTAATACTTTTCAATTTTTATGCTAAAGTGGGTAAAAGGATATAAAGTTTAAAATCAAGCTTAATATTCATAATATCCAAGCTAAGTGTTCGTTTATAAGTTAACTTTTAATGACTGAATAAATCCAAATTTGATCTATATAATAACATGTTTGACTGACTTGGATCAGAATTTGCGAATTTGCTGTGCGAGGTACAATAGTGGAAACAAGGATATTATCGGGGTATTGAAACCACTCAGGTCAGTTCATCAAATTAATTACGCATCTCATACACAGAACAATAAAGTAGAAGTGGCATGATACAATGTATTAGTATTTATGATGGACATTGTATGACTTGTTGTATTCATAAAATAAAAGTACCCCAAATTGTGTGTGTCCAACAGGGTTACTTATTGAAAATTTATTTCTTAAGCTGTCAAATCTTATTTTTACACTTTAAATATGTCTTGTCACTCATGTTCGGCAAAACAACCTAGCCGAAAATGTCGTATTCGTTTTTCGCTTTTCGTCTATTTTTTTTACTTAACCGTAACCTATTATCGAACGCCAAAGAGGACGTTATCCGCATCGCATTTATCGCATTGAAAAGGTTTCCATAAGGGCAATATAATAAATTACACTTATTAAAAGATGACAATCATGCAAAAAGAGACAAAGAGAAAGTCGGAACGCTGGCATCCTATACCAAATATGCCAGGATCCTCTACCAAGAAGAACTAAGAATACAGAAAAACAAAGAGATCAACGGAGAAGCTGGCATCCTACATCAATAATGCTACCAATCCACACTAACATAAACTGAGAGTGCATCACCAACTTAGAGCTCAACTGCTCTCAAAGCTCCTACTACAAAAAAAGACTTCTTAATTCTAGAACTTGAAAGCGAAAATATAAATTGAAAAAAAAACCAAAAAGAAAATTACTAAAAATAAAACATTGACCAAAAGTTTTTAGTGTTCGTCTTAAAAAAACATGATTCATACAATCGTTCACATACAAAGAGTACTTTTAAGACACGTGCTTGACTAATGGCACTTTCAAAAATATTTTCATCAGGCTTCAAAATCAACATTTCGGAAACATTTCATTTATGAATCATATAAATCAGATATTTAGCGTACTAAAATGTTCCACGCCATTGATTCTAAAGTGTTTAAATTTGCAAATTTTGATAACTAAATATATTTACTTTGGTATTAACTATTGTTTTTGTGATGATTTATGCATTAATTAGTTCCATGAATTGCAAAGGCATGAACATTGATTTTGTCGCGGTTTTATTTTATAGTTTGGTTCCCGACGTTTCGGATGCTTTACAGTAAACGTGGTCACGGGAGATGTCTAAGCTTTTAGAGGTCTCAAAAGTTATTATATAATTGTTACAGATAGTACCTATCCATCAGCAATATTTCGAACAACAATCGAGTTATTAACTGAATTGTACGAATTTTCAAAAAAATAAATAAAAATCACTTACATTTTCAATAAATTCCGGATTTGCTGTATACCCATAGCCGATGAAAATCATCGAGTGAAGACCCAGGATCATTACCATAGTGTAAAACCTGTAGCACAAAAATAATGTCATAATTATTATGTTTGTTGTTGTTGTTTAATAAAATAATTTTATTTTATCAAACAACAACAAAAAACATAAAAACTAAAAACAAATAAATATTTTATATATTATGATATATCAGAATTTCTTAACAGTTTTTTAACAATTTCAGTCGGCTGAAAAAATCATTTCAAATATTAAAACAAAATTAATCTACTAATAAGTCCTAAATATCTGATTTTAGAAGTAAAGTGTCTATTATTTTAGCTGTACTTTTTTAAAATATCAGATGATCTATAATATCTATCTAGTATCTATACAATAAAATTCTAACTAAGTCGAATTAAATATTTACATTAAATATTTTTTGGAAAATCTTATTGAAATAAACATTATTATCGATACAGAGGCCGAATCTATAGTTTTTATAATTTTTGTCTGTCTGTCTGACTGTTTGTCTGTCTGTCTGTTACCACATCACAGAAAAACCACTGGATTTTGATGAAATTTGGTATGGTGATAGCTGGTTATCCGGGTCAACATATAGGATACTTTTTACGGAGGGAAAATGTCACATTTCTGACCCGAGCGGAGCGATTTTTTCCTTATAAAATAGCACAACCATTGACAGTTATAGTGACAGTTTATGAAATTATGTATTATGAATCAGAGTTAATAAATGTTAACACGTTAAAAAAATCCATCCATTTTGTCATCTATTTCAGAGCTAAATTAAAGTAAGTTACATTAATATTTATCTGAAATTCCAAACGGCAGAAATGACTCAGTTTTGAAATAATATTTTTTAGCAAATATCATTTAGAACTCGAGAATTACTGAAATAGAACGGACAATAGAATGTAAACAATTTATTATAATTTCTATTCTTGTATATTTATTTCCCTATAAATGTACAAGGTGGATACTTAAAGGTCCTGGAATTATATTACTTCACGTCTAGTATTAATAAAATCAAATTCGACAAATTTTCCTTTGTTAAGTTTCTAAATATGAACAGAACACAATCATTGGAATGTTGTTGGTCATAAATTTTTGATTTATTGATGTGATATTTTCCGACAGTAAAAATTATTCTACATAAAATCTGTCCAGTGGTTTTCTCATGATACAGTCACAGACAGACAGACAAAAAATCCAAAAACTATATATTCGGCCTCTGTATATTATAATAATGACTATACAATGGAATTTTCCAAAAAAAAGAACAGTTGTTCAATGTACAGATTCGACTAAGAATTTTATTATATGTATAGATACAAACGACATTCTATAATATTTTTTCATGAAAAAGATCATTAATTTAAACTCTCAATATATTCATTTACCTCATAGCTTGAAAACATTTGAAGATCCCGCCCTCAGCACTGCCGCCATATTTCAAAGCTTTCCAATTTTTTTGCACGCAGAAAGCCAGAATATATCTGTTGCCTGAATATATAATCAAATTCATTAAATCGCGTAGCGTTGTAAAAAATATGGGAGATACATTGATTTTCTTTTGAATGTAATATAATAAATTATTATGTTTTTTGTAAAAAATGCAGAAAATTCAGGTTTCTCACTATATTTTTATTGTCAAAGTGGTATACATAATATAATCAAAAGCTCTAACTTGGATTTGATTTGGAGGACCTGTATTTATCTTTCAGAATGTATAGTATATAAACAATTTATTATGAAATTCAATATTAAACAAACACTATTTATTTTTAATATGAAATGTTAGGACGATTTCACTATATTACATAAAACAAAAACAACTTACATTGAAAATGTACTTGTAGTATAGCTTATGTGAGCTTTTTATTTTTTATCAGCTAGAAAACCAAAAACAAATCTATCCCATGGGGTCCGTACATTTTTCCGGGATAAAAATGGTTTATTTTATATTGGGATTTTCCACACATAGGTGCTATTCCAAACTATAATCTATATATGTGCCAAATTTTATCCAGATCCAGCCGATTCAGCCGTTCTGGCGTGATTGAGTAACAAACATCCAAACATCTTAATTTTCATATTTATAATATTAGTAAGATTTACCATTGGAAAATTATTATTAATACAACTATACCATTTTTGGTTTGGATCAGATTTACGATAATTTTTCGCTCTTATATAAAATGAAGTGCTATTATTTTAAAACACATTATATTACATAAATTATATAATATTATATGTAATTAAATAATATATAGTATAATAAAAATATATAAAAAACAATAAATTAGAAATACCTTCTTCATCATCTGGTGGCCAAAAGAAGTAGAACGCTGAACAACCAAGATTTACAAACAGAAGAATTAGCAGAAGAGCTCCGATGATGTAGTCTAGTGCATCTGGTGGGATGTAGTCGTTTTGCGTTTTGCAATATCTTACTGATAGGGAATCGACCTATTGTAGAATAAAATAAACTGCATATTAATGAGATCTTAAATCGTTTTTTTACGTCAATCTTATTATTGGCAAATTTATTGCTGTGAGGCAGCTAAGCTGTATATTAAAATACTAGCGGCTTACCCTCACTTCGCTCGGGTTTGCTTCTAAAAAAACAAAAATAAATCTATCCCACGGAAATCGTACATTTTGCGATATAAAAAGTAACCTTTGTGCTATTTCAGACTATAATCTATCACTGTGCATAATTTCATCAAGATGCGTCTAGCCGTTCTGGTATGAAAGAGTAACAAACATCCATCCATCCTCACAAAGTTTCACATCAACGCACAGGCCAAACCCTTAAGGCTAGAAAATTGAAAATTCGCACACGTATTCCTCATATGGTTTTTCTAAATTCAAGCCCCAAGGGAATAAAAAAGGGGAAATAGGGGATAAAAGTTTGTATGAAACTTATTATTTTGTTTTCAAAATTGGACATTTTTGCATGAAATTTCATATGAATTGAGTACGGCAAAAATAATGAGTTACATATTTCAGCGTTTTATAAAATTCAACCTCTAAGAGGATTAAATAGGGGATGAACATTTTCATGAAACTTTTAGAGTTTTATTGTAGTTTTAGCGCAAGCGATGCCACGGGTTCTGCTAATTTATAATATCAGTATGGAGCCAAATATTGCTTCTGTAACTCCAAATAGAGCAATACATAAGTCCTAAATGGTCCATTTCAATAATACTTTTTTTTTTAAAGATATGTTTATTGGAAGAACTATATTTGTTAGTAGCAAAAATAATATATAATTACAAAAAATAGAAAGAGATATCTTTAATTGATAATTTTCTTTCATATACTTACTTGTAAACCATACCCTTCATGTATTGTTGTATTGAAGCATTTTTTTAAGGTCTGCACAGTTATATGACTTGCATTTGCATGCGTAAGATTGAGACCACAGCGTTGAGATCCACAGACACCTCTATGTAATTTACTATGCTTGTAATTTCTATACGTTAAAGATGAGAAATTCTGGAAAAAATAAATAACTTTGTAATATACTTTATAAAAATCCATACAGATTTTAGCAGTGGTAGCCCAGTAGTAACGCACTCGCTTAGGATATCGAGTGAAGCAGGTCCAAATCCAGGGTCTCGCACCTCTGATATTTTCAACATGATTACCACTTGTTTGTACGAGGAAGAAAAATATCGTTAGGAAAACTGCATGTCTGAGAGAACCTAGCGAGTTTTCGAAAGACACGTGAAGTCCGCCAACTCGCATTTGGCTAGCATGGATTATGGCCTGATTGTCCTGACATTGAAGGGACGCCTGTGTCCAGCAGTAGGAGGTGAAAAAGGGCTGAATATATACAGATTTTGTCAAACGCAAGGGTTTTCAAGAAAAGCAATTTTCATGGCGAACGGCTTAGAAGTACAAGCGCTTTAATATCTTATTATTCCATTATTATCAATGCTAAGTTATTAGTAATTATACCCTAAAGCCATCTCCCGAATGTCATATATTATGTATATATCGCGTCAATCTTACGATTGTCTTATCTAGAGGCCCTCATTAGACAACTATATGGATTAATAGATTGTGGTATTTTGAGGTAGCTCGATAGGAGTTTTATCCTATGAACCGACAATTTTACGTTCTTTTTCACCAACATTTGCGTCCAAAGTCTAGAATAAGATACAAGAGATAGAATAAGATACTAATACTTTCGTTATAGAAAAATACAAAAACTCTATTGCTGTGAAACAGGACTCGAATTTAAGACCTCATGATTTATAAACCTCATAATTTAACTGAAACAATCAACAAGGTAATCAAATTATTATAATGAAATCATACCAGAGTCAAAGTGGAACGTCAAATATTTGCGAAATGTTTTGCGTTTGCAGGAAGATTAGATAGCAGGAGTCAAATAACGGACTTTTAAATATTCTATCCCTTTTATTTCATAAGATATTTCTTCCAATTGATGTAGAAGATTAAAGAAACCTTCTTGTAATTTCTTAATTTCTTCGAGTATTTATGGTGGTTTGATTTTACTCGTTAGTAAGAAGACTTAGGTTTTTATTCGAAAAAATATTAAGTTAAAAAATTTAATAAAAAAAATTATTAAGAAAAAAATTTGACAACGTGAAAACTAAATTTATTGTGTGATCAAAATTTATTTTAAAATATATCTGAAAATAACATTAAAACGTAATAATATAAAAAAGGATTAGTATAAAAAAAGTTTTAGGAGACAACAAAATCGAAAGTGCATATTACAAAACTTCCGTCATAAACAATAGCATTCCCAAGGAGGGTTGACGTCAGCCAGGCGGCCGGCCGCTCGTAAAACTTTTGCCATAACCTATCAGCAGTACAGGAGATGTACTGCGCCGACCCCAAGTGATTGGGAAATGGGCAGGGACAAGATTTAGTTAAAAAATTGACCCATAATAATTTCATTTAGTTCAGTTTAGTCTCTAAGTCTAGGTGTGCTCTATAAGCAGAAGCACCTTAATTAATTAATAATTTTACTATTTAATTAGTATTATATAACAGCATATCGATGGGACTACATTAAAAACTTTTAGGTTAGTGCTAAAACTAGGTTCAATTAGTTAAATAAATAAAATAAATATTGGACAAAATATAATTGAAACATGTGGTTAACGTCCCTGATAAAATTAATAATTGTACTTATGTAAGATTGGAATTTAAATGTTTGCTTTGAGCTAATTTTACAAGTATTTATTTAATTTACGAATATCATATAACTAACTTCATTAAAAGAAACGGTGAAAAGATAAATAATACATAAAGTTTTATTTTAAAACTACATTTAAATTTTGAATTGATTTGCGTTGATGAATACACAGTAGAACATTCCAGAGCCATTGATACCTTTAACTATGAAGGTGTTGGGTATGCGGGGTATCCAAGGAATTTATCTATAAAAAGACCTAAAGACCTAGCATTCCCTAAATTTTTAAAGTTCTAGATAAGTACCGTCAATCATTATAAGAGAAAATATGGCATGCTAAATATTAAGTATTAATAATATTAATTAATATCTTGGGATATTAACACACATCACCATCTAGTTCCATGGTAAGCTACGAAGCTTGTGTTATGGATATCAGATAGTTTATACACTACATAATATATATATATATATATAAATATATAACTTTTAAATACATACATATTATAAATATATACACCCGTGACTGGAGTGCAAACATTCGTGCTCTTCACACAAATGAATGCCCCCAGCGGGACTCGAAACCGCGACCGCTGGTACAGCAAGTAGGGTCACTACAAACTGAGTCAAACGTGTCGTTGAATATGGATATTTTCTGACGAAAACTAAATGAAGAGTGACTGTAACTATTGTCTTGTGCGTCTCTGAGTTTCACGCTTCTTGATTGTCGGATGCTGCTAAGATCTTCCTCATTTCCCTTCATTTATTACGACACGTTCAGAAGTAGAGATAAAAATCTTGGATTTGTTCAAAATGTATGTAAAAAAATTATATTATATGTAATAGAATAATTGTATGTATGTATTTGTATTCTGCCATTTTTAACGTAACACTGCTTGGCATAGGCCTCCTTTCAATATGGAGAATCAGGCCATAGTCCACCATGCTAGAGAATTGCGAATTGGCGTGTTTCTTATGTTTTTCGTAAACTAGGTTTAGTCAGACACGTAGATTTTTTTATGATGGTTTCCTTCACCGTAAGAGAAGTGTTAATTATGTTGAAAATAAAAATATCAGAAGTTCGAGACCCGTGATTTGTACCTGCTTCACTCGGTTTTTCGAGCGAGCGTGTTACCTACTGGCTTGCTTTTTGACTGGCGCGTTAGCTACTGGGATACTACTGGCTTAATAGAATAATTATCTAGAACTTACTTTTATATATTGATATAGTGGTGTATCATCTTCAAGCAGTTCAAAGTCTACTATACAATAGACTGCGTCTGGCTTTTTTAAGCAGATGTCGAAGTCATCTAATTCTGATAATACTGGCATCGAATGGTAGTCAAATGTGTGTTCCAATACATCTGTAACAAAGTTAATATCTATTAAATTATAATAATACTAGCGACTCCCGCTCACTCGGCACGGGTTCATCCCTAGTTACGTTTTGACGTTTAGTATAGATTTCTCAGAGATGAGAAATGTTCCCGCAGTATTAAGTATCCTATATGTTGACCCAAATAACCAGCTGTCATCATACCAAATTTCATCAAAACCTGTCCTGTGGGTTTCTCATGATGCGTTCCCAGACAGACTACAAAAATTTTAAAAACTATAGATTCGGCCTCTGTATCAATAATAATGACTATTTCAATAAAATTTTCCAAAAAATATTTAATATACAGATTCCACTCAGAATTTTGTTAAATGTATAAACTTTTATTAGATTTCAGTTTTATAAAATAACTCAAATTTGATGTATGATAATGACCTTCTTTCTAGTCAATATCGGACACGGCGATCAATTCCGTTAAGATTCTGCTTCTGCAGATCTACGCGAAACATATTGTAAGTCACAAATGTTTCCATAACACAAATGCACTCTCTATTCTTTTAAATTCTAAAACCAGGTGTGACTACCATTTGACATGTTGGGCGAGTTGAGCACAAACCTATTGCTTTACGTATTTTTCGAAGTTGAATGCGATATCACTACCTTCCCAATTCCGAGCTTTCACTTGAAACTTTTTGACAGAAAAACCCAATAACAGTTATACTTGGTCAGACCCGGAATTCGAACCTAGTACATTCGAATCAGCATTCGCGCACAAGATACGTGGCAATACAACGCGGCGGTCAAATCTTACAAAAATACGTCAAAAGAAACCTACATACGTATTTACTAAATGCTCACTTTTATTACTTAACGATTTCCTTTTAACATTGCGTTACTGCATTTCCGCTGCAATTGCTTCAAAACGTCTAATTTATTATAATAATGCATCTTTCAATAAATACTCCTATATAATGCAAAATAACTAACGTCATGCCAGTTGATATATTACCTGCATTGTTTGTACCTACTTCACTGGAATTTATAATTTCGAAACATAATATTTTATCAACCGACTTCAAAAAGGAGGAGGTTCTCAATTCGACTGTATGTTTTTTTTTTATGTTTGTTACCTCAGAACTCCGTCATTTTAAATAAAACTATCTTTTCGGATTTTGTCGCGGATTTATTTGCATTTTTATTTCCCGACGTTTCGAATGCTTTACAGCATCCATGGTCACGGGAGAGACTGAGGTGTTACATGTCTTGAATGTTTAGTTGTTACAGACAGCCTACCCACAATTAACAAAATGAAAATTGCACCAATTACATTACAGTATTTTTTAACTTTAAACATTTTTTTAACTTTAAAAAGGCTAAATAATCAAAGCCTATCTATTAAATACATACCTAATCAAATATTTTCGAAATAGGTGCCAGCCCATACAAAGCAAAGCACACCGACTTCGAAAATATTTGATTAGGTATGTATAGTAAATGAAAACTACCAATCAGTTACTTTTTACTTTTTAGTGCTTTTGTTTGAAGTCGGTTTTTATTTTTTTGTTAAAAAGTTTTTATTGATTTACGCGAATATTTGTTATTTTAAATGATATTTTTTTAATTTTTTCGTGGATTATTTTGATTTGACGTCTCAAACACGTCTAAAACATTAGTCTCTCTCCCGTGACCATGATTACTGTAAACCATTCGAAACGTCGGGAACGAAAAATCAAAATAATAAAAGATTGTTTAAATGAAAAAGTTTAAAAACATTGAAGAATTTTTATAATATCTAATGATTTGATTCACTTTTCCGGATATTTTTTAAAGAAAAAAAAGTTTACCTCCACCATTCTTCGCTGAAGCTAAACTATCTAGACTTTACTTTAGATCTTTGTATTTTCCATAGAATAAAAGTTATTTTTTAATTAAAATTTAAAAAACTAAAACTAATTATTTTGACTCATTTAGATACGATATTTAGGTATAGACTATGTTTCTATAAATAATTTTTCATAAGTATCTATTTTGTAAGTAATGCTAATTAATGAAATTCATCGTATAAGGGGCTACAATAGGGGATGAAAGTTTGTATGAAACTACCTTTTTAGAGATTTTTTGTAGTTTTAGCGCGAGTGAAGCCACGGGCTCTGCTAGTACGCTATGGGTTGCTAATCTTATTTATTATAATTTCACGTAGGCATACTTTCGAAATAAGTTTACTTAATAACCATTATAGTCTTTAACTTTAACGCTGGTAAGGCTTTAATTGCATATACTAAGAACTAAGAAGCATTTTGCAACAAGTGGCTAAATGTAAACAATTAGGTCTAGAAAATCGTACTAAAGATTTAATCTAGATGCTTAATGGCCTATAGTTATTATAGTTAAAGTGTAGTATTTCGAAATAAAATCTATTAATTATAATATTTTGAATGATGAAACCATTTATATTTTATTTTATAGATCATTTTTTGGCTGAACTTAGTTTTTAGCTAAAAATTAAAGATAACTCATAATGAGAATCTTGTTAACACCTCCAGGTAAATTTCTAAAAAAAAATAATTAAAATTCTAAGAAATCTATTGTTAACTGACACGCCGGCGTGTCCGCGGTCGTGGAGGGATTAAATATATATAAAAATTGTATATTATTTAAATAGTTCGAAATGTTTATATATCATGGAAACTAAATCTGATGGACTGCTGCGCTAGCACTTTTAGGTGCTAATATTCCTATTTGCACAAACCAATGCTTTTTTGATTTCATAAATTTATTTCCATAAAATCATTAATATTATTTATTGGTTCCCGACGTTTCGAATGCTCTACAGCAATCATGGTCACGGGAGAGTCTCTCCCGTGACCATGATTGCTTGCTTGCTGTTGCTTGAAATTATTCAAATTTCAACTTTACAGCAATCATTGCTGCAGCATTCAAAACGTCGCGTCGGGAACCAAAAATCAAAATAAATCCGCGAAAAAATCCGAAAAGATAGTTTTATTTAAAATGTCAAATACTCACATAAATCTAAGAAAGTATTATTTCATAAATTTATTATTATGTTAAACGCTGAAGACAAGAGGTATTTAATATTTAAAATACAAGTAAATATTATTTGACAGAAAAATAACTATACCAATCAAGTCTGTCAGATTTTTGTTCAACTTTAATCAGTAGATTTATTTATATCTAACTTTTCTGTTAAATTGATAGTGATTTCTCTCTCCATCTTCATCTCCATCAGTTTTGAGACAATACATTTTGATTCCCAACGCATCATATCTTTGACCAAATTCAGATATGGTAATATCTTTATTGTAAATATAAATGTCCTTCACTCGCGAATCGAACCCGTGTTTTAATTGAAGAGAAAGTATCTGTTAGATTTACACTATATGTACAATGTACATGCTCCACTGCCCACTTGCGAGAGTTATTGAAAGGCTGCAATAAATAAAAAACAAGTACATCTCGATCATTGCAAAATAAATAATGCTCTTAGTTGTGTCTTTTACACGTAATAAAATGCTTTTATAAAAAAATGCTCCATTTCAATTAGCTATTTCACACTCTGATAAAATAAAGTTTTTAAGTGGTTATGTTATAAAAACTTTTTGATTTTCACAACGTGTTTTTTAATAAAAAAAACGAATTCGACTTAGTTGTTTGTGTTTGCTTTATTAATTTTATTTACAAGTTGCCGTTAGCTTCCTACGAATAGAATATACTGATAACTTTTAAATTAAATTGATTTCGTGGATGTTGGCTCACTGTTGTTGAGTTTGCAGGAAGATAATTAAATGCCCAAAGTCATTTATGTACATTTATTATATTATTTCTAAGCATTTCACAATTCCCAAAACCATATATCTATAGTAATATTATAAATGCGAAACTAACTCTGTCTGTACGTCTGTCTGTTTGTTACACATATTTGGCAATTGATTTTTATTTATATAGATATACTTAGGTAAAGAAGAAACAGTTAAGCAATTTTTTCTCCTTGGTTTCTCAAGTGATTTTCTTTTTTAGTAGCTATTGACGAGCTTTAGTTTTAACAAATTTTTTTTTATTATTGTCGAATTTTGACCACTGGCGAACACTGCTATATATAATTATATTGTATTTAGCCCTTTTTAACGTCTCACCGCTGGGCACAGGCCTCCCTTGGATATGAGGGGGATCAGGCCATAGTCCACCACGCTGGCCAAGTGCGAGTTGGCAGAGTTCACATGTCTTTCGAAATTTGCTAGAATCTCTCAAACATGCGGGTTTCCTCACGATGTTTTCCTTCACCGTAAGACAAATGGTAAGCGTATTGGAAATGGTTCACACATGAAGATATCAGAGGTGCGAGACCGCATCATTCGGTTTCCCAAGCCTGCGCATTACCACTGGGCTACCACTGCCTAGAATATAATTTTATCTAGTGTATTAATCGTTTACTGTTATCAGTTACCAGATAGATAGTAATTTACAACAAATAATCCAGCAATATTCAATTATTGAATTTCAATACGTGCACTGCTGGCTGTTAGTGTGGTATACCACTGGTCTTTTGTACCAAATGTATATCATCAAGTTATATAAAATCTAAAAACTATTTGTAATGCTAGAAATAATTTATTTAGTAGTTTAAAGTTACTAATTTGTACTAATTTAGAAGAAAAGATACAATTATTACAATGATTAAATCATTTTTTTTTGTTAACTGTGTTTGGTTTCTTTTATATTATGATGCCATCGCACTTTATTAGTCTAATAGCTTTGTCCAATTTTTTTTAACAATTTAACAATTATGTTATGATAGTAGCAGCAGCGCAAGCGTATTTTTTATTTTGGTCGTATTTTAAGGCTGCAAAAAATTTTCCGAGCTAAAAACTTCATATATTTTTTGATCCAAATTACATTGAATTTTTAGAAGTGTCATTCCACCCTAACATTAACCTATTTAGCTTTAACTGGTATATTGTACAAGTGTACAACTATTTTA